TTAGTGATGACTGGTGCTCTTGCATTGTCCAGTGATGCATATTGAGTTTTGTTTTTCTTATTCTTATTTATATGCTCACTATGTTTAAATTATCCTTCTTCTATTGTAGCATGACTTAATGGCTGTATAGTAAGCCATCATGTATATAATGTCTTTTTGTTGGATGTTTTTAGTTTCTTTAATTTTTTTTACTAGCCATAACCTGTTTATTATTGTACCAGAACTGTGCTAAACCCTTTGCATGCATTATCTCATTTAATCTTCCCAATAATCCTGGATGTATTACTCTTTGAATATACTTCTAAATGATTGGCTAGGATAGGTTTTCCAAAGTTGAATTTTTGAGGCAAGGGGTGAATGTTTTAAAGATTATTAACGTACTTTGCCACATTGCTCCCTAAAGCTTTCCCTCTCAATGCTGTTGCCCACTTTTGGGTTTCAGGCTGATTTGAGTCCTGGCTGAGGGATGCTGGAGGGAAAATATTGACAAACTCACTGCCAGTGATGCTTTTTGAATTCTCACCTTCTTCTCCATTCCTGCTGAAATGCAGCCTTCAGGATGTCACTTAGCTGCCTCCTGCATTCTGTCCAAGTGTGCTGTCACTTCCACTGCACCCTATGGCTGAGGTAGACACAGAAGTCTGCCCTTTTTCAAGGAGGGGTTGTGTATAGACTGGGTACGATTGTAGGAGAGACTGTAAGAGGAGCTGGGGGAGTTTGCCATAGGATGAGCCAAGAAGGACTGCAATGACATGTTGAGTAGAGAAGCCAGTAATGGGAACTTGAGTGACAATGGCTAGTGAGGTGGGGCAAATCGGGGGTGGTATCATGAAGATGCTAGGAAACTATTTTAAGGTGTAAGAGTGGGTCAACAGTGAAACTTCTCTGACAGATTAAGAAAATGAGTAAGATGAAGAGAGAAATACTTTTGTGCCACATGTCTACCAGTTTCTGTTGCATTGTATGGATGGATGTCTGGTTAGACTTCCAAATTAGACTTCTCTAACTAAGAGTGCACTGAGCTGAGAGTGAGGGGCCAGAGTAGCCGTGTAGGTAATTCTGGCTAGCAGTTTGATGTGAAAGGAAACCAAGAACTTGGATAGTAGATGGGGTGAGGAGAAATGTGGGCTCAAGGGAGATTTTCAAAAATTGAGCATGTTTGTGTGATTCTGAAAATATGCAGTGAGAGGGAAATGTTCTTGTTTTGGGAGAATAAAGAAGTAAAGTTCTGAGCATCCAGCAAGGATTCTATTCTTAACCCAAGAGGAAAAACTTTGTGTGGAGCAGGGCCTCTGTCCACCGTGAGGAAGAAGGCAGAACAGGGTACGGGTGTGGGCGCCTGTGTGTGTTAGCAGTTGTCCTGGAATCTCCCATTTTCTCAAATGATTGGAGAAGAGCATCATCTCATTACTAGAAAGACTGAGTTGTCGGGGAGAGTGTATAAAATTGTGTTGGAGAGTAGAAGCTTAGGTGAGAATACAGGGCAGCACTGGACTTAGTTGAGGCTTACAGTCACAATGTTAAACAGGCGACACGTTTGTGTCTCTCAGCTTTGAGTTGCTCAGGTGCTGCTCAGGTACATGGAATGAGAGGGTGGATGCCTAGCCCAGAGTGAGCTGCAGCTTTGCCAGGTTGACAGGATGGAGGGAGACAGGGATGGGTGAGCCTCCGTGTTTGGAGATTTGATGGTAGTGGTGGAACATGGAGGTTGAGTTGGGGAGGAAGGACGTGGTGGGCCATGTGACAGTGGTGGGGTGACTGGTTCAAGGTCCCTGGTGGGGATGGAGATTTAGAGAGCATTCTAGAATAAAAGCTCTAGAATTGACCACCTGCTGTGTACCAGGCCCTCCCTGAGGCACCAGGTAAAGGTTGGGGACCAAACAGCAGAGCCTGCTTAGGTGGAGTTTATGTTTCATGGGGAGAGAGACATACACTTCAGGGCTGAGCTCTCTGATGTATTAATGGAATTTGGGAAAAGGAGTGATGGGGGTGCTATGTGAGAGAGGGCACTCAGGAAGCCTCTCAGTGGAAGTGACAGTTGAGCAGCGACCTGAGTGACATGGAAGAGCGGGTGAGTCATTCAGGCATGGGCGGAGCATCCTAGAGCACAGTTCCCAGTGAGGGAGCTCAGTGAACAGCAGGGAGACCAGAGGCCCTGTGAGAGGAAGGAGTCGCATGGGCAGGAGAAGGGGGGCCCCTTCAGTCCTGGGGGGGAGGTGGCTTGTACCCTGAGGGTCTTGGGACGTCACGGGAGGGCTGGAGCAAACCTTGATATTGGTCTTTCAGAGGTTGACCTGTTCCTGATAACGATGTGGGACTGGGTCACTAGTGTACATGGAGGGAACCTTGGTTAGAGGCAAGGACTCAAGGTCTGAGGTGAGTTAGCTCCCTGAGTATGGTGCCAATGACAGTAGGAGCAGAGGTGGCAAATAGGGCCGTTGAGTAAGGAGGTGAAGTATTTAGTGATGGGGCTTCCAAATGAAGGTGGTTGACGGCTGGCAGGAGGGAGAGGAACGGCAGGTGGTCAGTCAGTGTCAGGAGTTTTAATGGAGCTGATGGTTTTGAAGGAGAATAAGTCATTTGAAAGTGTTCCTGGGGATCAGAGATATCACTCACTTCCTGTCCCTAAGATATGTGGGAGTCGATGGAACACAACTCTACTGAGAGATCTTCAGGAGGAGGAGTCAAGGGGCAGCCAGGTCACTGGTCCTGCAAGAGGTGAGGTTCCCTTCAGAGAGGCTCAGGAAGGGGCCTCTCCCTGGAGGTCATTGTACCTCCCAGAGGACATTTCTCTATGGTGACATTGGCTGTTGCAACTGGAGGTGGGTGGTGGTGCTGCTGGCATCTCGTGAGCAGTGGCCAGGGAAGCGCTGACCATCCCACAGTGTGTGGGGAGCCCCTGTGGTGCAGGATAATCTGGCCCATGGTGAGAAACCCTGGATTAAGGATTGAGGGGCGTCTGCCCATCATAGAACCCTGGATGTGGGCGGGTCATTCCTCCCTCTCTTCCACGTTGTTCTGTAACCCCTTTTGATAAATTTTGGCTTGATTTAAGCAAAACACATTTGCTCATACTCACTCATAGACACACACACACGCGATTCTGCCTCCCTTATTTGTTCTCATACACAATATCTGAGTCATAGGGAAGCACTAATTAGGTTTCTGGCTGTTTCCAATCATACCGTAGGATGTGTAAGATGGGGATACTGTAATGATAATTAATCAGGTGAGAATTGAGAGATGCAGTTTCCTAGGTGTTTTGTTCTGGGTAGGTGCAGGCAAACCAGAGTTCTGTAGGGAAAAAGCCTTTATTCCTTCCCCGCCACCCCCTCACCACCCCTGCCAAAACTGTCCTGGGAGACCAAAGAATGTTCTCTAGTGACCTAAAGAATGAAGAAAATAGAGAGGCCTCTTTTGTTCTGCTTTGTCATTCCACACATCAGAGACAGAGTTTGAAATTAGTTTTTTACAAGCAGAAAGAGAAAGAGGCATGGACTTTGCATGGCTAGTGTCCTGGCAGCCTTGAACACTGAAACACTGGAAATGTAGGTGGAACTGGAGTGTAGACACAGGCCTGGTTTTTGCAGAGCCCCAAACTAAGGATGCTTTTACATTTTTAGTTGTTAAAAGCATAACCAAACAAAATCAAAGAAGAAGATGCAATAGAGACTTTCCTTGGCCCTCAAAGCCTAAGATATTCCTTCTTGACCCTTTAGGAAAAGTGTGCTGAGCCCTGGTATAGAAGGTGTTTCATGGCCAGTTCTGACCAGGATGGGAATGAGTCTGTCATGGAATCTTAGCACTGCATTTATTCAGAAATCCTGAAAATTACTTAACTGATGTTTCTTAGGTGCAAGTGGCCAGGATGGCAGGATGTATGCTGGCTGTCGGAGTTTGTTTCAGGAAGGGAGGCAGACATTAAACAAATAACTACACAAATTATTCATTAAATATTAACACAAAGGAGCTCTGAAGGGCCCAAAGGCTGTGGAAGAGAGACACCAAAGGCTTTTCTGAATGAGTGTCTTTAACCTAAATTTGAAGACAGAATCCTACCCTAGAGGGCAGGGCAGGGGCAGGGCAGGCAGGAGAACACAACTGGGAGCTGGAAGGGCCTGGAGGGTTCTCTTCCTCCTGCCCTGGGTGGTTAGTGCAGAGAGCAGCTCCATAAACCCCAGAGGCTAATGGATGAGAGTGGGGAGGCTCAGAACTGGGTTTAGGGGCTGGCTCGTGGCTCTCAGCCCTGGCTGTTAGAATCGGCTGGTGGCCAGCTGATACTGCCGCCCACCTCCACTTCCCGCCATCCTGTCTCCTGGTGTGGCTCAGGGCAGCCGGGGCCGAGAACCATGGGGCGAGGTGGCCCAGGCCCTCTGGCTCCTGTATCCTCTTCTCAGTGAGCCTCTACTCCCCTGTCTTCTAAGCAAATATCTGAAGTTCCATCCTGCCCTGGAGTTAAGGTTCTGAGGAGCACATGAGAAAAATTTGAGTTTTACCCTCTCGCTTTCCTGCTCACAGTAACATTTTTACTGGCCAGCTTTCTCCTTTTCTCCCAGGTGGGTGGCTTGCCTGCCTCCCCGTCTCCTCATTCCTGTCCCTCCCCATGGCCATGCCACTGACGTTTCTTACCAGATGGTGGTCACTAAGTGCTCCCTCTCGGAGCCGACAGCAGGGTGAACAGCGAGAGGACGCGGGCGGCCAATGGGACCCAAAGGCGAGGGTGCGTCCCCAGATGGAGGATGACGGCCCGTAACGGGGCCCTCTCTCTTCTGGGGTGAGGGGTATTGGAGGGACGGGAGAGCAGACCAGAGCTGCCCTGTCCCATGCGGTGCCCCCGGCCTCAGACTGCAGTCTTCTCTCAGCCTGAGAGGCTGCTCCCTGCCAGGTCAGTAGCCTTGGCGACGGTGTTGCTCCCTGGCTGTGTCTGCCGGCCTCCCTGGGGGATTCGGAGCCAGGTGACCTGCCGGTGCTCCCTCCTCATGACTGCGTTTCATCTGCAGGGCGGACTCTGTTGGAGAAGCTGTTCAGCCAGCAGGAGAACGGGCCTCCGGAGGAAGCAGAGAAGTTTTGCTCCCGGATCATCGCCATGGGCCTCCTCCTCCCTTTCAGCGACTGCTTCAGGGAGCCCTGTGATCAGCGCACCCAGTCAAGTGCAGCTCCGTTTGATGTAAGTGGGAGAACTCCCTCCTGTCTGTGGGGTGCAGTTGATACCTCGACAACAGGGATGCGTGTCTGTGCAGTCACCCTGGAATTCATAAACCAGCATGAGTTGCAAACCTTCATGCCTTTAGCTTCTTGAGTTCAGTCTGTGTCTACACTGCTCTTTCTGACCAGGATATTAGTTGCCACATCTCCTGTATTTAATAGTTGGCCACTCTTGACAGTCTTCTAGCCTGCTTTAATCAGTGATGAATTTAAAGGAGCTCTGAGTCAGTGTTTCTGACTTGGCTAGTCATAGACATTCCTTCAGAAACTGTTCCTTAGGACAAGAACTTTGTTCCCAGTGGGCCACAGGTCCCCATGGGCCCTTGAATGCTATTTCAGGGCGTTCCTAACTTATCTAGTGTACTAACTATTGACATGACGCAGCACTGTCTGCTTCTCCCAGCTCTCCTTCACCAGGAGAGCTAATACTGCAGGATGGCAATTCAAAAGGCATGTTCATGATTCATAACAAATACCAGCACAGCATTATTCCCAAGCCAGAGTACTGCTGATCTTTCTCAGGTATGTGGTGCATGTGGGACACTGGTAGTTGTCATAAGTATGCAGCTAGAACCTAGCTAGGTAATGATCTCATATATGAATTTCTTCTAAGGAAACTGAAGGTCTGCTGGCTCACTCGTTCAGAGCCAGTATCTGTGAGGCAGAGAGGTGGGCTCTCATTCTTACGGGCTGGTTACATTTGTCCTGACCGTGCCTTTCCGTAGTGCCTTCAATGTATGTGCTATTGATTAATGGCTGAAAAAATGGGGAGTTCCAAAAGACAATGAAAATGGGCCCTGGCTGAGATCAAGCTGTGATAGAAAGTAATAAAATGTCTATACCTGTTCCTGTTTCTCTTCTCTCTCTTCTCTACCCATTACAACCTGTGTTCTTCCTTGATCTCCCTTCAGTACTGGGAAAATAAATCAGACCAGATACTGTGAGATCTTGTGGGTGCTTTCCATGTGGAAGAAGATTCCCCAGGACATGCTGTGATTTGTGAAGCTTCCTTCTTAAGGCCTGTTGATTGATTTTTTAATAACATGGCAGGTAATCACTGCTAGGAAGATCTTTTTCTTCTGTGGGAAGAACTGGATAATTAAAAAGTTTTCCCTTTCTTTTTCTTTGTGAGAGGTGTGTGTCATAGAGATGGTGCTGTGGTGGGCTAAGCGTGTGTGGCAGAGCAGTGTTCTAGAAGATACGCCCATTTGCAAGTTGGAATTAAAATAAATATGGTGTAGATGAAGGCAAACACTAGCCATGTCTAAAGCCTACTTTTTGATTAAAGCTATTCCCAAGTTGACCGTGTTCTCCTTCCTTATAGCTAAGTAGTAAACAGCCTTATCACTCAATAAATGTGGAATTGAAATAAATGGAAAAGAATGGGGGAATCCTATTCCTCTTTTTTTTTTTAAATATATATATCACCATACTGGCTGCTTCTGAGCCCCTGCCTCACCCCATCCTGTGTTAGACTGGTAACTTCTCCTGCACATCGTGCTGGAGGGCAGCTGGTGGGTGTGGCATAGAGAGTGAAAAGCAAACAACAGACCAGTCACACCCCTTAATGACGTGCAAGGCATTTCCTCAGAATGGGGAATTTCTTTTCCCCAACTTTATGCAGCTGCGTTTTCTCCTCTTCGCTCACTGGCTCTGTACTACATCTCTACTTCTGGGGCAAACTGAACACGCAGCAGATATGAGAGGGTAGGGGCTCTGGTAGGAAGCGTTGTTGCGTATCCTTCAGCGGCAGTCAGTCACAGAACTGCCCACTTAGTGTAGGTGCAGTCAGGGTTTTCTTCAAAACTCAGAAGAGTAGACTGAGGTATTAGTGGGGAAATAGGAGGCATGCACCTATCTGAGGGGAGAGAAGTTTCTGGTAATTAGTCTTTCTGCTGATTTCTGGAGTATTGCTGCTGGGAGGCTTCTAACCTACAATTCTCTTGAGGACGGTCGCCCTTTGAGACAGAACACCCATGGGAAGAAGCTTGGCTCCCTCTCCACCCCCCTTAGCAGGTGTTCTCAGCTTCCCATCTCCTCAGCGTCCCATCTTCTCAGCTCTCCAGTTCTCTCCCTTACACATGTAATTAGGGCATCATGGAGTTTTGATTTGGGGTCTCTCTAATGCAGTTTATGAGTTCGCTTACTTCAGTCAACCCTTTGGATTTGAGTCCGTGTTGTTTTGCACATGTTTAGGGTCTGACATTTGCTTTAGAACTGCCATAGGAAATAGGAAAGGACTTCACATTCTCTCTCACATTTGAACTGGATTAGAGTTTGAAGAATACCAATAAGCAAAGAGCTTTGAATGATAATGTTAATTCACTCACAGATGTTAATCAGATTATTCTGTGCACCAGCCAGTGTTTTAGGTTCAAGAGATATATCAGTGAGCAAAAGAAATAAGAATCCTGTGTTCCTGAAATGCATATCCTCTTCCTGGTGGGGAGAGACAGATAAACAACAAACAAAAAACAAACACCTAAGTAATGAATTAACATGAGTTTCTGGTAAGTGCTGTGAAGGAAATAAATCCAAGCATGTGACAGAGTGAAGGAGGGCAGAGAGGGTATAGAGGGAAGCCTCAGTACAGGCCATGAGGTGAGGTCAGGGAGGGTCAGTTCTGGGTGCTCAGGAGGCAAGGGGCCTGGAGGATGCAGGTGTGACCTCAGCAAGGCCCAGTCTGTGGGTCTGTGTCACCGAAGTTTCATGAGATGAGGACAGAAAGGACTCAGGAGCCGGAACATTCAGGGTCTTGAAAGCTATGGGAGGGAAATGGATTTTTTTTTCCAGTGGGATCTTTCATGAGGTTTTGGAAGTGCTGGGGAAGAACATATCTGACGTGTATTTCACATGATCAAGCCTGGTCTTTGAATAGTGGAATGTGGCGTGGTGGGGGCAGAAGTAGCATTGGGTGCAGCAGGTGGGCTTCGCAGTGGTTGACAGAGGGAGGGAGGAGGGGAGTCAGCGGTGTGGGGTGGATTCTGGAGGAGAGCTGACGGCTCTTCTGGTGGGTTAGACATGGGGGCAAGGGAGAAAGGAAACCAAGGCAGCTTCTTGGAATTTGATCCTGAGTAACTGGGTGGATGGTCGTGCCATTTTCTGAGGTGGAGAAGACAGGTCAGTTTTAGGAACAAAATGTCATAAGGACAGAACTGGTGCTCATTATATACTTTTCTTGAAAAGGATTCTGTTAATTTAGAAAACCAATATGTAGCATATCACCTGGCAGACATTAGACTTTGTTTTTTTCTGAAGTGGAATTATGTTGACTTTATAAGCCAATCAAAATTAGGGGCCATGATACTTAAAGTTATCTCAGTCCTCCAAAGGGTACTTTTCATAGCCATGTATTCATAACACAGAGAGAAAGACTGAGCTCCTTGAAGGGCCTGATAGCATATTGTCCATTATTATCTTTTTCCAATTCTGTTACTAATCAGGGGACCCAGAAATCATCAACTTGCTTATTCTCTGATAGGATCGTCACATTTGCCTTTTGCTTTTTTGTGTGTGTGTCTTTTGTTGTGTATCTAAAATAAAATTCTAAGCTAGAGCAATTCTAAAGCTAGCCAGCAAAAACACACATCCAGTATCTCATCCTTTAAGTCTCCCTTTCCTTTAAATTTCTTTTTTCATATTGAGATCCCTTTTTCTGCGGCATAGTCATTAGCAGCTATATTCCAGAAAACCATAGTTTACCTTTTGTAACTGTTGGTTATCCATTAGCAAGCTCTTCTAGGATTTCTTCAACCATAACCCTGTCAGGTGTCACATTATCTCCTCACATCACACAAAAAAAGCAAGTTTGTTTGGCCCAAGGATTTTGGCAGGGCTATATGATTATATCTACTTAATCCTTAGAACCCATCTTAAATCTTTCTGGTAGAATATTTTTGGATGCTGGGCATTTTTCGGTTTGGCAGATCTGATTTAGCTAAATATGTAGTAATCACCATGTTTACCAGCTGGGCAGGAGCCCCTTGGTATGTTTGTAAGTGGACATAGGACTAATTTACAGAGAGTATATTAGTGAGGCTAGAATTAAAGAAAGGGGAGACACGAAAATTTAGGCCAGAAAGGAGTAAGGAAGCATGATCGTGAACCTGTTGAAATGTAATTCACTAATCAAAACTAGTAGTGGCCATGCCAGAAAAATTGATGAAATACAAAATGTTCTCTACTCCCTGATACCAAAAGCCAGAATGAAGACTTAAGTGAACAAACAGAAATGATCATTTGTATGTGAATTCATTTTTTTTCATAGCTGGAAGATGCTATTTTGTCAAATCCACACGTCTTTTCCTGAGAAGCAGTAAAAGCTATGGCACCTCTTTTAGCTTTAAGAGAATATGTGTGTATGGAAATATGCATAGCTGAGAAATCCTGCCCTGTACAGCTTCTGTAAAGCTGTACGTTACATAAAGTGTACCGTAAAGTGGCTTCTCTGTCAGAATGAAGTACAGGTTCCTAGATCTCCATGGAATCCTGCTTTCCATACCTTTTTACTTGTCTAGCTCATGACTCTCTTCCCTTCCTGCTCCTCCACAGCTGTCCTCTCCCATGCTGGAAGCTATCAGTTTCCCATCTGCCTGTACTTTCACTCAGCTCTGCAGATCTGTGAACACTACTGTTTCTGCTCCCAAACTATTATTTCTCAGTTTGCGTTCCACCTTTCTCATAGAACACTGTTCAAATTGGGTGCCATTCTCTCCACTCAGTCTGCAACCATCCAAGTCTGTATTTTCTCCCTTGAAGGACCTCACACAGGGATTATAATTGGCTGTTTACCCTATGATGCTCCACTGAAAATTAAATTTTACCTGAAGGTGTCCTGTGATCAGTGCAATGCCGTGTTCCTGTGTTTACCATAGAAACACAGGTCTATGGTAAATACAGGGATCAGCTCTCCCAGAGTGATTAAGGGCAGAGTCTAGTCTACTAGACTGGACTCCAAGCCCA